CTGAATTCTCTGAGTCCGGTAGCTTCCTTAAGCAATATCCTTTTAAAGTTTTGAGGGCATAATAATGATTATGGTTTCTTAGACCCCTTGCCGACCTTTGTAGGGCATGCCACAAGTGGCACCTCCCTTGGTTTGCTAAGGCTGGGCTTGCAACTCTTTGCTAGGCTATGGGTGGCGTGCCATCTTTATCTGCCTAGCATGGTGCGTGTCACACCTTAGGGTCTAGAGAGGAGAGAGAGAGATAAGAGAGAATGGAATGGCATGGAGGAGAGATAAGGAGAGAGAGAGAGAGAGAGAGAGAGAGGCTATAAAGTTGTATAGAGAATGAGAGCAGATCCCTCTTTATATAGGGCTCAGGGGCCGTAAGTATACCATTTTTAGTGATGGTTCATCATGAACCAAAAGAATTTTAGGTAATTTGTGATGTGAGAAAAGAACAAATCTAAGCGATCCATCCCATGATTAAGTGATTATGATTTAGGGAGGAATCTAGGAATCCCTTGAATTTTTTATCCATGTTCACTTCCAGTCAACCTAGGAATCGACTAATAAAAACAGATCTTCTAGAAATCCCTTATCTCTCACAAGATTGTAATCAAATTCCAAATATTTGAAGAATATTTTTAAAAACAAAATATTCTTAGCTCCTACAAATAAGGACAATTTTTTTTTTTCCCAAAAATTTTCTACTAGACAAAACATGTTTATTTTAATAATAAAGTTTTGAGAAGGAAAAGGGGGTGGGGTGGGGTGGGGGGGGGCGGGGGGGGGGGGGCAGAGGCACTTTCGACCTCCATGTGTGAGGTGTGGGCTCCACGTGCCACACATATGGGTGCGGCGTATATGTGGCACTTGATGTACTATCCCTTCGCTATTTAGAAATTTCAAACATGCCCTTTCAGGGGTTTTTACCACTAGAAAAATTTGAAAATTCTGAAATAATTCTAAAATTCACAAAAGTATTTCTTATACTAGAAACAAAATATCTAGCAGTGGATTGGTACAATGGGTCAAGATAAGTGACTGGTAGCGCACTCACCCTGACCCAGTAATCGTGATCCTCGATTATTTTATCAAACCAATGCAATGAGACCCATGGCCCACAATCTTCTTAAGGGTCTCATGACTTGTTCGTCAAAGCTGACCAATAATTGGTGGATGGTCTTGGAATGTGGAGCACTAGTTTCCCCCTTAAAAGCAAGTCGCGCGCACATATCATTACAATGCAAAGGGACTCTCTCTGTGGACATGTGTGAGGTGTGGGCTCCACGTGCCACACATATGGGTGCGGCGTATATGTGGCACTTGGACGTACTATCCCTGCGCTATTTAAAAATTTCAAACATGCCCTTTTAGGGGTTTTTACCGCTGGAAAAAATTGAAAATTCTGAAATAATTCTAAAATTCACAAAAGTATTTCTTATACTGGAAACAAAATATCTAGCAATGGATTGGTACAATGGGTCAAGATAAGCGACTGGCAGCGCACTCACCTTGACCCAGAAATCGTGATCGTCGATTATCTTCTCAAACCAATGCAATGAGACCCATGACCCACAGTCTTGTTAAGGGTCTCATGACTAGTTCGTCAAAGCTGACCAATAAATGGTGGAATCATGGTCCTGGAATGTGGAGTACTAGTTTCCCCCTTAAAAGCAAGTCACGCGCACATATCATTACAATGCAAAGGGGCTCTCTCTGTGCACATGTACACGTACCTTTTGCAAGGTTGCTTCCTGGTATGCGGCTACATGTTGTGAGAAAGTTTCTTTGGGATTTAGCCCTTGCTCTCCCGGGCGTATATTTGCACACAGGAGACCACGAAGCTTTTTTGGCCAACAAACCATCCCTGGTCATCTTTTCGACCTCAACAAGTGGTGACCCCTCATGTCAACGAGTAAGCATTTTGGACATGACCAGGGCCATAGACCACCAAACCCTATGTCAGTCAACCAACACACACATGCCCCTTGAATTGTGCAATGTGTTATAATTATTTATTTACAAGCTTTCACGGGCTTTAAAGGCCATAAACCCCAACATAATTGACCATGGGCAATCTGATTATTGGACTGCTGGTTCTAGGAGTTTAGATACTCAATATTCTTTTGTTCTTATCTCATTTATTGCCCTAATTATGATTGTGGCATATTCTGAATTTTACCATCCTCAAATTGTCCCTTGTGCTATTTGATTCTGCAATTTGTATCCCCTAACAAATAAGCCCCATTCAATCCTTTGCAAAAAACGTCAGACTTATTTTTCCCAAAATTTCCAAATGTCATTTGTCGATAAGGGTTTTCAATGTGGGAAAGAGATGGACAAGGTTGCACAAGCTTGAACTCTCAGCTGTATCTCTCCCTCTCCCTCAACAAATCTGTAACCAATCTCTCCCTCAACGTAAATCCTCTTTGTGCGTGTGTGTGTGTGCCCTCGCTAACCCCATCAAAAAAAAAAAGAAAAACAAGAAAAAAAATCTATACTCTTGAAACTGGGAACAATTGGAGAAAGCATCGTCTAAGAAATGATTTATTCATGTCATGTTCATCATCCGTTATCTAGAGATTATGTTTATGTTGGACTAGACCCCCAGAACTATTATTAGAGGCCTTGAACTGCTCCAAGTAACTATTTCTCTCAAGACTTTGAACCAGTCCATGTATTAGGAGGAAACCCCGTAATTTATACTCATATTTTTATAGACCAGCTGGGAGTCCCTCAATCTTTTATTTCTCAATAAACCCAAGTCTGGTTTTGTGATTCCATGATAAAAGCTAATACCATGAGTAATTTTTACAAAGAATATCAGGTTTGTATCACGATATGTTAAGATTCCTAAGAATGGCCATTGAATCTATTCTAAAAAAAATGGCCACTGAACCTGATAAATACGCTTTTACCTTTTTCTTGAAGGCATGTACTGGAATTTTCAGTTTGGAGATGGGTTGATGGGCTTGTTAAGAGAGGATTTGAATTAGCTGGTCATATTTGCATGGGTCTAGTTGATATGAATTGTAAATTTGGCTACATAGAATTTGTAAGTAAAATGATTGAGAGAAATGTGGTGGCTTGGGATGTGATGATATTTAGATATTCAAGAGTTCATGATCCTAGAGAAGTATTGAAAGCGTTTTAAAGAGATGCAAGCGGGGGCCAAAGAGTCCTATTCAGTGATCTTTTTAAACTTTTTCCTTTTCTCAATTTCCAGTCTTTTCTTTTGTAGATCTTTACTTTTTATGTAATCAAGAGAGAGTATAAGCTTTCAATATCTAATGAGCTGATTGATCTTTACTGAAAATGAGAAAAGATGGAAGTTCCTTGCCAAATTTTTGATGGACTTTTAGAGAAGAGATGATATTTCTTATTCTCAGACTGGGCGTAGGGTCGAGACCTTGTAGATTATTGATCAGTTGAATATAGAGAATTGAGTCTTAATCAAATGCAGATAGTTGGGGTTCTTGTGGTAGCAACTGATCTGAGGGATATTGAGAAAGGGAAGGAAATCCATGATTACTTGTTTCAAAAGGGTGTTTACTTGGATATTGGAACTTTGGCAGAAAATTTCTAGACCTGGGAGTCACACATGCACACACACACACACATGAGAGAGAGAGAGAGAGAGAGAGAGAGAGAGAGAGAGAGAGAGAGAGAGAGAGAGAGACGTCGTGTAGTATACTAATAGTATATTGTTTTGTGTAGAGACGTAAGGTAGGTAGTAAGTAAGTTTAGTTACGTTACGTACGTAGTACTAAT